CCCTGCAGAGCTGGGGGGGGTGGATTCCTCCGGAGAGGTGCGATGTACCGGTCCCCTGTGTGTGTCCCCCCCATCCCCACCCGCTCCTGCGGTGGGTGCAGGGGGCTGGAGCAGCGGGAGTGCTGGGTAGGGACTGTTCCTCCGTCTTGCTTGAAATCACCATAGCAATGCTGGGAGATGAGGAACAAAAAAGCTCTGCTCAGGCACTGTCTCTCCTTCCCTCCTCCTCCCCCCTCAAAGCGCTTCTTCTCCCCCAGCCCCATCTTTGCCTGCTGCGTGGCTGCAAAGGGTTTGGGGCCGGGGGTTGGTTTTGTGGCTCTGCGCTGGGTTCTGGAGGTATTTCTTGTCCCCCCGGTTGGGAAGCGGCTGTATTGGAGATGTGTCTAGAAAGAAATGCTAATCAGTGTCTGAGGCTTCCAGACTGCACAGCGATGGAGCGGTAAACAAAGGAGCAGTCCCAGGGTACACATTTTCCCTCTGCCACCCCATTTTTTTAGCCAGAAATGGCCACATCTGACCCACCGTTTGGCAGAAAGATGGCCATATCTGAAGGCACTGCTGCATAGGGAAGAGCAGATGATTTCCCGTTGTTCAGAGGATCGCAAAGGGAGGGTCAAGATAAATTGCTGTGTTACTGCAACTCCCTTCCCTCTGGGACTTTCCACAGTCCCACCAGGCTCTTCTGCAGGCCTGGGCTCAGGCTGGGGTGCTCGTTCCCTTGGTGCCGATGTGTTTGGGTTTTTTTGTTTGTGCGTTTTTTCAGCATGGTTAGGGCCTTTGGCAGCCCCGGCAAGAGGATTTTTTGGGGGTTTTTTTTTTTTCCCCCCCCCCCCCCATCCTTTTGCTGTTATGCTATTCTCAGATAAAGGTGTTGGGTTATGCTTTCTGGTCCTCAGCCATTTTGTACGTTGAGGCCTTCCAGGGAGATGTTGGCGAGTCCAGCCAGAGGTGAAATGCTGGCGGGGTGGAAGCGGGAGCTTTGTCGTGCGCTGCAGCGAGTTGGGGTCCTTGTGGGGAGCTCGTCCCCCTGGGGAAATGGGAGAGGACAAGAGGGAGCATCTCTGGAGCTCCGTTGCAGCAACGATGAGGAGTGTGAAGTCCAGCGCTGGGAGTCCTGAGCATCTTCCACGCTCAGGGCCATCCTCTGGAGTTGTGGGTGGCTTGTGTCGCAAAAATCCTCCAGAATCGTGTGGAGGGGCCGAGCGTTCACGTTGCGAGCTGGGTGCTTGCCTGTGTGTGTGCCGAGGATGGGGGGATGTTGTGTGCAGCGTGTGCTGTGTGCTGTTAAATCCAGGTGAGAGCCCAGCTTGGGGGCACTGGGGTGACAATGACAGAGATGGAAGGGGCTGAAAACCAAATGGCAAGCGGCAGGGCTAGCCCTGACTGTGAGGGCTTTAGAAGCTTCTTTGGCTTCTTCAGCTGCTCTGTCTTAACTTCTGACCTGTTTGGCTCTCTGCGGTGGCATTTGCTTGGGCAGACGGTAATCCTCATGGAGCAAGAGCGGGGGCATCCCAAACTGACCTCCTGCCAGGGCTCACTCCCCTGCGAATGCCCTGTCCCCAGTGCCAGGCTGGGGTGCCCTTTGGGTCTCGCTGTATACGTGTAGCTGTATATGTATATGCGTATACGTATAGCTGCATCCCCCCCGGTGTCTCCTCCCCCAGCCCAAGCAGCTGCATTTCTCCTGGGCTTGTGACTCTGCTTGTACCTGCTGTGACACCACATGGAGCCGTGCCCTCCGATTAGAAACCGCTGGTTTGGGATGTGCTGGGAGCTGCGTGGCCTCCCTTAGATCACCCTGGGGTGGATGCCCAAGCAGCCGGGAGATGTAACCACTGTGAAACCATCCTCTGACCCCCACCCATGCGTCTGTCTGGAAATGGAGGCTGAATTCAGGGCTGAGGTGGTAATTGCACCAGTGTCTGTGAAGCATCGGGGCTGTAATTAATTTTTTACGGTGTATCGGGAAGTTATATGGACTCCAGTCTTCCGAACTATACATATGATAGGTTTAGCCTTGGCAGTTTGCTAATATATTATTTAAAGAGCTGAAGGATATGGTAAACATCATACAAAGTCACCAGAAGAAGTCCATGCACCAGTTATAGCCCTTTGCTGCCTGGGTGAGCCTGGCATGGCCTGTGCTAGATCTGTATGTGTTTGAATGGGGCAGGGAAGGGCTTTCCTGGGCTTCTCTAACTAGAAGTCTGTAATCCAGACAGGCAAGACAGATAAAAAGCTTAGTGGCTGCTTATTCAAAGATATGGGAGGCTGAAGAGACTGGCTCAAGGTCATAAAGTTTGTATGGGATTGCTGGAGCCACCCCTGATGTCCTGATGGCCGGCGCAGTGCCCTACCTGCGCTATTGGGGTCACGCCGTCTCCTCCTGCCCAAACCCCCATTTTGTGCCAAAGCCTTGAGCACAAAAGCACCTTTTTAGCCTTCGTGCCGCAGGAGTGGGAGTCCTGAAGAAGGCTGTGGCTGAGGGAGCCCTGTCCTGCTGCTGTCTCGGGCTGGGCACCGCTCAGCCCCTCCACCCCGACCCCATCTGCCAGCACCCCTATTTCTCTTCTCCTGCTACTCACAGGGACTTTCTCGCATGAAGATTTAGGGCCTGTTTCCAGTGTGAATGAGTTTGTGACCCTGCAAGGTTGGGTTTGAGCTTGTAGAGATGCTTATAGACCCAGCTGCATTTCTAGGTGTGGAGCTGCTCTGGGGCTGCTGTGCTGTTCAGGCAGCCTCCCTGCACCCAAATGCCAAGACGCAAACTATTGAGACTCTTCCAGCATGGAAATGTTTTAATAAATACAAGAGGTGCATCTGTGTAAGTACCTCTGATAAATGCCTATCTGCAGAGGCCCATCTCCCAGGCTGGTATTGCACCGGGCGATTGATGCGCTGCCTTGAGATGCCCGTGCAAGTTGCATTTATTTCCAGTGCTGCATCTGAGATCCAATCCATCTGATTTCTTTTCCCACCTCTTCTGACTCTTGTCGCTCATTCCTCTTTGCACCATTTCATGCATAAGAAGCCAGGAAAAGTCAGAGCAGCCCCCACCCCCCAGCCCCAAACTCATTAACGTGGTCTCATCTCAGATGTTGCCTCTGTAAAAGCGCTGTTACCTTTGTGAGCAAAAGCACCATGTTATATTTCTGTGTTGTGATTCATTTTTTATACTTAATAGCTCTTCCTACCCTGACACAACTGGGTGACCTGCTCATGGGAGCTGTGTGTGTATACAGATTATCTATATTATACATATTTTCCACAGCCCCATGGACAGCTGAGCCTGGTGGGTCCCATTTTTGAGCGTGGCTGGAGGTGAACTCTGGCTCCCAGAGGGCTGAATCTCCCCTATCTCTCATCTTCTCCCAGTATTTCTCTCAGCGTCTTTCTTTTCTTCCCCCACTCCCCTCCTCTTTTTTTTTTTTTGACAAAACCTTAGCAGTGCAGCACGTGGCCTCATTCTGTTCAAGGTTGAACTGAAACTTGAAAAGTTGAGCTGTGTCTAAATAGCAGGCCAGGCTTTTTGAGGGATGCAGCAGCACTTAGATCTTGAGGTAGTTCTCTGCACAGGGAGACATTTTGCTTCTGAATATTTTCCACTTTCTTTCTTGCAATAATTTAAATATTTTCCTCTAGTCCTTTTACCTTGGTTATTGTAACCTGTCCTGTGCTCAGCGGTGCTGGGTTTGAAGGGCTGGGATACTTGAAAGTGGTTTTTGTCCCTACCTGCCATCTTACCTCAGGAGGGATTGCTGTTTTCTGCGCCAGCATAAGTTACTTGCACTGAGCATCCCTGTAGCCCGATGTGTCTGGAGACACATTTCGCAATCCCGTGTGAGCTGTGTGTGTTTGGTCTCTGAGCCGAAGAGGTGGGGGCTGGATTTGGGGCAGCAGCAAGAAAACAGCCTGTATTCAGACACTTTTAAAGCTGCGTGCTCAGGACCAATGCATTTCTTGCATTTCCTACTTTGAATTTACAGCCTCAATGCGTCTTTTTAACTGCGTTAAAAATAGTTTGGGTGCATTTTTTATCCGCATACGGTGCACCATACATTCAGTTAATTAAGCAAGTGCATGGACTTAAATTATAATAAGGAAGAACATTTCCTCCCTGTCTAATTCTATTAAAATTTCCTTGTGCCATCCCCATCCCATTTGTTCTTCCCTTTTAACCCAGCCAGAAGCCACCTCTCTCTCCAGAAAGTCTCCTCTCTGCACTGCCCGCATCCTGGCATGGCCACGGCTGGCGTGGTGGGAGGATGGAGAGTTGATGCAGTTGCTTCCCTGAAGGTCCGGCCAATTTTGTGACTCCCTTTGCTCCTCAGGGACTGATGAAAACACGGTTATTTCATATAGATCCATTCCCAGATAATCTTTTTTCATCAGATTGAATGACTCTGGGAACACCCAGCCATTTTTCTGCTGCCTGGGTTGGGTTTTTAGGCAGCCCTCATGTTTTGTTTTGTTTTCCACTTAGATTTTTTTCATACTTGTTTTACAGCATTTGCTAATTAGGGGTAAATTCAGTTTGACAGTCTCATTTATCCATCCCCAAGCACCGAGGGGTGGTGGTTCATGGCAAGCCCTCACCCCCAGACAGGGATATTGCTGGCAAGTACAATGCCACCAAACTCAGTCCATCCACCAGTGATGTGCAGGGATCTCCTGGGTTCTCCTCCCCTCCTCCTAGTCGAGTATGTGGGATGAAGGGGCCAATACAGATCTCCCATATGTGCCAAGTTTAACGGACCTGCTGGGCTTTGACCTCCGGCTCTGATGCCCTCGG